ACATATATGTGCATGTAATGTGCATGTGTATGTATGGGTGATTTCAGTCAATCACAGTTAAAGTTGGCCCTGCATGCAAGTGAATGTTTGGAAAAAAACAACGAAGCCATAATGTGGTAAGGTGAGGTCAGTTCCTTTTCGCTTCGCCTTTGACGCCAGCTGACGCTGATGCCTCCTCACAGCCGCGTCGACTGGGGGCGATTGCATGTTACATACACTGATTTGAAGGTATGTCTTTGGTGTACACTTTCCAAATCGAATGAACGATAACAATATAGCTATAATCAGATAGACTTTATTTGGTGTATCAAAATGAAAGCTTTAACAGCAGTTAACAGTAACGGCAAATAACAATCAAGCAATAACATCAACCAGACAGCTCCTCAAGACGACCGTGAAGGAGGAAGAATCACACGAGATCTGCTGGACTGTGCTTCAGATTCACGCATATCCTCCTCCTCCTCCGCCTCCTGCTACTCCTCCGAAGGACTGCGTCCTCTGGTAGGGAAGAGGCGGGGCCACGGGGAGCAGGGCCCCTTGGGGCTGGTACCCCCCCTGGTCGGCCACGAAGGTGATCTCCACAGGGATGCCCTCCGGCGCCTGGTACCTGTAGGTGGAGGAGGCGTGGTCATGTGTGTGGCGAGAAAAGCTGAGAGTATGTTAGGGAAACAAGAGACATGTAATGAGAGGCGAGGCTCCGGCCTGAGCCCGAGGGGCACGTGACTCACCTCCAGCCTCCCTCCTGCACGTGTCCGTTGTCTTCTTTTCCGGACTCGTAGCGGACGATGCCGTTGGCGGCCTCGAACTCGAAGGTGTTCTCGCCGTAGGCGTTCTGCGTGCGGTCGTCCTTCACGATGGGGATGAACCGCCCCCCGCCGCTACCACCGCCACCGCCGCCGCCGCCGTATCCCTGCGCTGCCGCCATGGCCACCACGCTAGCCAGCACCTGCAAGCAGAGGGAGGCATGGAAAAGCCCTTCCAGTGGGGCCCTAGTCCCAGCCAAGCACGAGAGGCGATCCTCAAGCGACTACTCACCACGAGGCAACTTCGAGTGTTCATGACTGCGCAGGGAAGCTGCTCCGAGACTGGCTTCCTTCGCACTCGCCCGCCTTATATACACTGACACATGCACCTGCTTCTCGGCCTGTCGTGGCCACGCCTTTATGCAGGAGCCTGCTTTCCATGCGAGAATGATGATTAGTGATGTCACATTATTACAGTGATTATATGCTCAGTGACTGCTTATTCATGTTGAGTTTTTGTTCGCTCAGTATTGTTATTATTACTATTTTTATAAGTAGTAGTGATATTATTATTGTTATTATTATCATTATTATTGTTATTATTATTATTGTTGTTATTATTATTTCTTTAGCATCATTGTCATTATTATTATTATGATTAATATTTTCCTCATCATTATCTTCATCATCATCATTATTACCATTATCATTATTATTATTATTATTATTATTACTATATGTTCATTATCATTATCGTTATTATCAATATTGTCATTATTATTGTTATCATTATTATTGTTATTTTTATCATCAATTCTATTATGATTATCACCATTATCATTATCATTATTATTATTATTATCACTATTATTGTTGTTGTTGTTGTTATTGTTGTTTCTTTAAATGATTTTATCATTTCTATTATTATCATCATTATATTTGTATTAGCATTATCATTATTATCGATATTATTATCATGGTTATTATTATTATTATCATTATTATTATCAATATTATCATTATCATTATTATTATCAGTAGTATTATTATTACTATTATCAACAACACTACTCTTATTATCATTATTGTTATCATTACCATAGTTACCATTATAATTTTGTTATTGTTGAGTTAATAATCGTCATTTTCATTATCATTATGATCATTATTATTATTGGTGATGTTTTTATATTTATCATTATCATTATCTTCATCATCATCATTATTTTCATCACTGTCATTACCATTATTATTATTCCATTATCATTATTATTACTATTGTTATCATTATTATTATCATTATTATTATCATTATTATTATTATCATTATTATTATTATTATTATTATTATTATTATCATCATTATTATTATCATGCATATTAAACTTAGACATTTAGCCAGTACCCAACCCGAGGGCAGTAGAAGGGAAACATCAAGAAAGAATTTCCCATCGAGTCAGTAACAATCGTGGTCCTTTGGGTCAGACAAAGCGGCGCTGGACCCCAAGCCAATGGGCTGACACCTTGCTCTTGTTTCCGTGCGGGTCAAGCAGACTTCCTATTACACGAACGGCACGCTCGTGTAATAGGAAGTCTGCTGACCCGCCCGTCAGACAAACGACGGACAGCCAAGCGACCAGAATGTTGGATGCCATGGGGGCGAGGGGGGGGGGGAGTCGCGGGATAATTGCAGAAATGAGATTACATTTGGTGTTAACATTATTGTCATCATTATCATCAATATTTTCTCATTATCT